GCAGGAATGGCCAGATCTGGTGTGGGGCAGGGCTCAGCCTGCCTGTGGTTGATCCAACAAGTCCTGGTGGGCTAAAGGACAGGGGAGAGCACTTAGCTCTTGGCTTCTCCAGGGTCTCCCAAGACACTTGGCTCATGACCTGTGATGGAAACGAGCTGGTTGCTGTAAGATCCAAGGACTTCTGACCGTGGGTTCCATCCAGGCCTGGTGAGAACTTCTTGTAGTTGGAAATGAGGTATTTGCCTCCAAGCACCAAAGCTTCTCATGCTGGAAAAGGTCTTGAAAGAGGAAATAGGATACAGGGAGTGGGGGAGAGATGCAGAGCCCCCCCCAAAGGCAGGAGAGTTGGTTAGTAGATGAATGATGCTTCTGGAATAAACATCATCTCTTCCTAAAATCCAGGTCCTCAGTCAGTGGGTCCCATGTCTCCCACCACCACCTGGTACTGAGCATCTCACTGCTGGCCATGAAGAAAGCAGAGGCTGCAGGGACACTGCATTAGACAAGAGAGGAGATTAAAAAACCCTGCTTTGCTTTTGGGGGCCACTTTGGTGGGGCCTGAAGAAGTTGAGATCTCTTTCGTCACACTGGGCTGAGCTTTGCGGCCACCTCTAGTGACAGAGGTGAAGGATGCAGTGGTGAAGAGGCTAGAGAGGGCCAAGGAATCAGCCTGTTGAGGGAAATGCTTTGGTAATGGTAGAGAAGCAGAAATAATTAAGTACCTCTGCCTCCTCCACGCCTCCATCACCCTCCTAACCTCCAAAGACATAACTCCTCATTCTCTTTAAGCAAGGAGAGGAGGAGGAGCAGGGGGAGGAAGGAGCAGGGGATGCAGAGGGGCTCTATGGACATTTGCAGAAAGCTCCCTGGCTGTCTAGGGGAGGCAGGGAAACTTCCAAAATCGTCTGACGCCTGCTGGTGGGCTGGGGTCCTCCAAGACCTCTTCCAATGGCTGGAATCGTCGTCTTCTTGTTCCCCCTTCAACCAGAGTGGGTGCTCCATGCAGGGCCAGAGCTGAGCTGGGTGGCACAGGGAAGCTGGTGGGGCAGCCCATGTGTGCTGGGTGCTGCCCCTGCCCTAAATCACATCCTTGGGAAGAAAAACCTCAGAAACGAGTCACTTCAGTCCAGCCCCGGGTCCACGTGGGCATTGATGCAGCACCATCTTCAGCACCTCTGTCCATGAAGGGTGAGGGCAAAGGCAGGTCTGCGAAGTCACCCCAAGAGATGGGGACTTGGGGCATCACCTGGAAAGGTCTCAGCCATGGGCTGAGGTTTTGGGGTGCCTGGGGGCTGTTTCCTTTGTCTCAGAGCACACGAGGAGCCCTGTGGCTTTGCCAGCTCAGGTCATGGTGGCTGATTGTCTCTCCTCTTGTCTGCACTTGAGATTTGACCCACCAAGCTGGATAAAGCAAAAGAAAAACCCAAAACAAGCAAAAAACCAAGCCCAAAGCACGGCGAGGAGCTGGCGCCCATGGCACAGGTGGGACAGGGTGTGCACACGCTGGGGTCCCGTGTCCCATGTCCTTACCCTGTGTGCCGGGCGCCCCGTCCTCCCCTGGGGTCCTGCGGGCAGCCCCCTGCTTCCCATGTCAGCAGGAGCTAAGGAAGGAAAGAGGCAAAGGAAGAAACTGAGGGGGATAAATGGTGACT